TATATATATATAGAAAACAAAATATGAGACTAAAACTTTTAAAGCTACGAAGCACTGCAAAATGACCTGGAGTAGTGTTTGAAATAGCACACATAGCATAGTAGTGATAGTATGTACTGTGTACAGTGCACTTATCTGTCATGGAAAACCTGGAAATATCAGGGATATTTTAAAAGCGTAGTTCTACGCCTAAAAAAATCATGTCTTTCTGTAGTGCGCTGGTTTAAAAACTAAAATATTTAATTTGCAGAAATTATAAATACAGGTGCATCTCAATAAATTAGAATGCCGTGGAAAAGTTCGTTTATTTAAGAGGCACTCTAAGTTCTGTAGATACAGTACCGGTCCAGGAACTACAGTCTATTCCTGAAGACGAGGAGGAAGTCCAGCCTCAGGTGTGGGGCCGCGTCATTCCCTTGGTGCATGGATTGAGTGTGCTCAGTTAAGTGTATTGTCTTCCTTGATTAAAGAAAATTAGTAATGTGAGAGTTTTAGTCGATTTGACTACTTCTGCTGGCCATTCCTGCATATGAAGCATTATATTTAGTTTCCCAAGGGTTTTTGAACAGGAGTGGTATCAATAACAGACCAAATGGATTGCATTTCTGACCCCTATGTAGGGTTGCACGATTAATCGAATGCGATTGTCATGCGCATTTTGTTAAAAAAGCCGGTTCTGTAATCAGCAGGAAATCATCATCACGTACTTTCAGATGGAGCAGCATTTACTACACGTAGCCGTAGTTCACTGGCAAGTTACGCAAAAAAAAATCGCAGACGATTTATTGCGCGTTTCTGAAACCGAAGAAATCGTTCACGATAATGACAGCTGTTTGCATAGCTTCTCAGTGAACTACGGCTCTGTGAAGTAAATGCTGCTCCATCTGAAAGCATGTGAAAATACCACATTTAATAACATATTTTTACTCCAAACTCACTTCATAACGTCAGTCGAGTGTTTGAAATAAATCCTTCTGTGAGATGATGTGGCTTCTTACACAGAATAAGGCACGCAACATATTTCATAGTATTTAAGTAGTGATAAAGGCATTGCATTATAAATATACTTTATTTTAATGAAAATTATCATAATAAGAACTCAGATAAACCGTATATTGCCGTAGTCGTGTGTTTATTAGTCACGTTGAATCAATGAAAGCAGTTGAATCTTCTGTTTATTCAGCTGCAGCGATGGGCATTTTCTGGGTCTCTTCTGCGAGGCGTGTTTGGAGTTTCAGCGCGAGAGCGCCCTCTGGCCTTTGGATGGAGATTTACTGCTGATCACAGAACCGTGCCTTAGTAGGCGCGTTTCCATTACAGATTTGCGCAAAACTTACGATACAAAACGATATTTTCTGAATGTCGATAAAAAAAGTATTGCAAAATGACGGCGATTCCATTAACCAATGTTATGCGGCTAAAACGTAACCTTTTGCCTCTCGCGGTAAGTCATGGCAACGGATTTTGGTGGGATTTTGGCTATATTTATTCAAAGGAGGCTTATGCGTGTATCTTTACAGAAGCAGCAAAAAGAGCCGCTTCAGAAACGTGCGTGGCGCGGCTGGAATAAACCATAGACTGTACAAAAACATAAACGCAAGCATTGCGTGGCCGCAATCAGCTTCTGTGGCCGTATCAGAGCCACACTGCACCGCAGACGTGTGCAGTGTAAATTGTCTAAGCATTAATAGTAGGGAAAGCCCCTTATACTGGAGCTCGGCCACTTATGAAGTGTTTCTTGGCGGTTATAGTACGTTGAAGAATGATCATATGACTTTTTACATACGCCATGTGACCTGTAAATGCGAAAAAGACGTTTCCATTGCAGTTTTGCGAATTATTCCTTTTTCGCATTGCCTGAAAACCCACCTCATGCGAGAGTAAAAACTTTTTTGCGATATATGGGCGTTTTTGCGAAATTTACGCGTTTCCATTAGCCGTATTTTCAATTCGTAATTTCAATTTGCGCAATTTGAAAGGTAATGGAAACACACCTACTGAAAGATACGCATGACAATCGCAGCTTCTGTCGAATCGCGATCTCGATTCCATTTCGATTTATCATGCAGCCCTACCCCTATGTATAGTAAGGATCAAATAGATCTTAATAATGGACTGTTCTGGGTTCAGCATAAGTAAAGTGCTGTTGACAGCATTTATTATGTAATTTTGATACCAAGATAGTTTCAGTGTTTTGAACATGTAAAACCAGTAACTGACACAATATGTGCAAGGACTCCCAATAAGGCTATGACATAACTTTTCATAAAACACTCTTTAATTGGTGCAAACTACACTATCAGTAATAAAAAAAAATTCAATTTTGAATCTCAAATTCAATTTTGTTATTTTTAATTTTTTTTAAATTGAGGCACAAGTTGAAATTGACAATAATGCCACAAATGCTGTCAGTAGAGCTTGCCTAAAATATAGATCATTCCCTTAACAGTTCTGAGATTGTTGAGCTATTATGGTATAACAGGAATAGGGCCAGTGTTGTTTTAGTAATATTTACTATTATAGTATTCATTCATATTTTGAATTAGCTTTTATTTTTGCATTTTTAGTTTCCATTTTAATTTGAGCTAACGTTTTAGTAATAAAATTATTATGTGCTTGTGTATTTTATATATTCAGCTTTAAGTACTTCAGCTTAAACTTACTTTATTTCAACATTTCTCATTTTTGTTTAGGTTTTCATCTAACATTTATTTTTATTTCAACTAACGAAAATGATTTTTAACAGTTTTATTTAACTAACAGTACTCAATATGGCTTCTTTTTTATATTTTCCAGATTGCACAGAAAACCAGTATATCTTTGGAAGGGATCGCGCATGCGATTACACTTTTAACAACACCATTGTAAGACAGTCGACACATTTCAGGACATACAGCAAGAAGCACTTTAAGATTTTCAGGGTAAGGCCAACATCGAGAAGCTGTTTATTAAACTTGTTTACATCAAATGTTTTCTTTTCGTAACTTTTTTTTCTCATTAAAAAAAGTTATGGCTGACTGTGAAAAGCGCATTTCTACAATGGCATCAGGTCTCACTCATCAGGAGCCCCATTTAATTAAAATAATATGGGCTGTTTTACTTTTTACAGTTTTACTTTTGCTTCCGTTTCAGGATGAGAATCTCGTCTACGTCGAGGACCTCAGTGGTAACGGCACGTGGGTGGACGATGAGAAAATAGGAGACGTGAAGCAAAGACTTCTTAGCAATAACTCTGTAATTGCCCTTGCAGAACAAAAACATCAAGGTTAGTCATTTAGGTGAGTTTTTTTTTTTTTTTTTTTCAGGGGTTTATGAAATATAAACTGAAGTTCATACAATAAATCACCTGAAAATGATCATTCTGAGGCCATTTTATATTCAAATGAAAGAATACAGTAAAGTGTCCAGTGGCTTTCAAGGTCTAAAAAGGACAAAGAAAAAAAAACTATGGCTCTGAACTCTGATTGGTTCTTTCTTTCCACAGTTTTTATGTTCATAGATAAGATGGGGGACGATCAACCAAACCTTCCTTTAGAGTTCAGCAAAAAATATCACATTGCACGAAAGATTGGAACGTAAGTGAACTTGATTTTCAGAAACCTTCAAAATATCATGTACCGAGGTACTCTATGCGTCATTAGATTGCATTTCTTAACACAGTGACAACTACCAGGAGCTTCCTGCACGATACTGTTTTATTTGATAATTGTATTACATTTGTTTTTGCAGTTTATTGTACTCAGCCCAAAAACCTCTGTTTGTGTTTTCTGACAGAGGTGTCTGTGGTGAAGTCAAGCTCGCCATTGAAAAGGAAACCTGTAAAAAAGTTGCTCTGAAAACTATAAACAAACACGACTTTCCATCAATAGGGGTAAGAACTGGGTGTATGTACATATTATTATTATTATTATTATTATAATAATGTTTAGTGCTTATCACAATGCACATTGTTTCATACTGTAAATATAACACTTTGATGCCTTATAGTAGTGGTGGGTAGTATGAACAAAAATTTATATCACGGTATTTTTCAAAACGGTATATGACGGTATTTTTTATTTTTTCATGCATGACTGGGTGTAAATCACATTTTCTACTGATTGAGAGAGGAAATAGGCTACTGCAGTAGATTGACTTAGAATGCCCTATTTTACTGTCATGATGAGTGAATATTGTCAAAAAATAGCACACTAAATAGTGACGAAATACGACCCCTTTCTATGCTCATATTTATAATTCCAAACAGTCAGTAAGCGACAGGTGCTTGGAAACGCTGTTTTGTACTCATTTATTGACGAGTTGGCGGCGGTGTGGCCAACTGAATGCACTGCTTCTCTGCCGCTCACTACACAGCACAGACGCCGAGAGAGGTGACACTGCGCCATATATTCTATGGGAAAAAGCCGCTAAAAGCGTCTGAAAGTTGCTAAATCTAGTGCTAAAGTCGCGCTCGTGTGTGTGTGTGAGACGTGGGAGCTGATGGCAGGGGCTGTGGATGTTTGTGGCAGTCATTGTAGATGAGTTCTTCTGTGTCATCACGTTCTATTAGTTCTACAGCTTC